GCAAAAAAAAAAAAAAAAAAAAATTCACTTTGTTACACATGCTTTAAAAATCTATGTCCAAATGTTACTAACCACAATGACCTGCTCTGATTCGACCAAGAAGACGGCTGAGGGAGGTGTGCCCATGGGGAGGGAATCTGTCTAGGTGTGTGGCTGCTGTGTGAAAGCTTATTGAGAACTCCAAGAAAGACACCATTTCTCCAAACCAAGGCAATTGTGTTCTTCTCTCCGATGTCCTTTGCAAGATGTTTGTGGAAATGTTCATTTGTACTTGGATATCTGTTATGTGCCATTTTTCTTCTAGCATCAAGATACAATAAAAAAAGAAAGAAAAGAAGAAATGCTATTTCAAGGAAAACTATTCTCTTTGAAAATCGAGGACCCATACGACAAAGTAGGGATCACAGAGGGACCTCAGGAGAAAGGAACTGAAGCTAGAGCTTAAACAGCCCCACTCTTCAACCAGCGAGAGAGCAGGGGCTGTAGACATTCAGGGGTACCTGGTGGCCTGAAATGGGGTGGGATGACCTGGCTGGAGCCTCCCACACTGTCAGAGTTCAAAGCCCACATTCCTGCCAGAGTAAAGATCAGAAATTAGCTAGGAACATGTCTGAGGCTTTCCTTATCAAAATCACCAGTCTTCCAAGGTTGAGCTTTGTAGCAAGCAACTCTGTGCTCCCAAAAGCCCAAGGCAACCCCTGGGGTGGGAGAGACTTCATTTCTGTTTTAACAGATGGGGACAGCAGGTAGCCCCTCACCCTGGCCTGAAGCTCAACTCTGCTCTTCCCTGGAAGTCCTAAAGAGAATTCTTATCACAGGTCAAGAGATTTCCAGAACCCCAGGGTTTCTGGGGGAACAGCACAGGAATTTCTAAAACTTGACAGATATCCTTGAAGTATACCATCTCATCTTTAAGACCGTGCCTTGGGTTCTGCTTAGGCAAAGTCCCTCATAGTTCTTTTCTGGCCTCTCATGTCACCCTGCTTCAGGCTTGGGAACCCTCCTTCTTGGATCATATGAAGTAAACTTGATGACTTAGCTGACAATCTTAAAACATTAGCGGGGGAAGGAAATCAGGGCAACCCCCCTCACTTTATTAATGGGACAATTGGCACCTGGGGAGATGAAGTACTTTTCTGAAGATTGGCCAGTGGGAATGCAAATAAATGCAAGTGTCCTGACAGCACCCCAGCACAGGGCCCTGTCTGCTCTGTAACCAAACAGTACCCCTGAGCCATGCCCACCACTAGGCAAGTTATTTAGAGTCCTTCGTCTGGATGCTGGGCCGCCAGGCCTTGCACACACTCTCAGGATGAAAAACAGAGAAACACTGGACCACTGGCAAATGACCTAAGATAATCTTAGAACACACCGTAGGGTGGAAGGTCAGATGACACATGATAGATGATAGATAGATAGTATATATGTATATATACACTACACTTTATATTCTCCAGATTCTTGCCATTGTTTTTCAAGGTTCATAGTTTTCAGAAACAGATCCTCAAGTCAAAGTCTCCGTTCCGTTAGCATACCTGGCTGAGGGCTGGTCAGAGAAGCATCTGTGAAAGTAAAGAATCATTAGTCAGATTTCCTACTGTTTTCTATCAACATTCTGAGGCAGAGGAAACCAAGAACAGAGCCTTTATCATCTAAAATCTCCGAGGACTACATTGCAAATTTATCCAAGAAGAAAAAAAATTTAATATGTTTGCAATCATCCATTTACTCCTCCTTCCATCCATTCAAGTATTATTGAACAACAACTGTGTGCCAGGCTGGGGGGCCAGGATCATGGTGGGAAATAACAAAGATGCAATCCATCCCACTCTCCCTCTTTCCCCAGCATACCACCTGTGGGAAGACAGTCAAAACAAGTGACTAAAAGCGTGATGTTGTCTAGAGGCGACTCAACTCTGAGTTAGTTAGGTAGATCTTACAAAAGTCATCAAAAGCCTTTGCAGTGCCTCGTTCCCTCTATAGGCTACGGTTTGAGACTGAGTGCATCTTTTCCATCTAGATTTCTGGGACAATCACATAGATGACTGGGAAAAGAGAGAGGTAGGATGGCAGGTGGGACGGGCTCTCTTCTAGAAAGCCAGAGGCACAGTCTCCCAGTTGATCAGGGCACCAAACTCCCATGATGTGAGCAGACAGCTGTGCTGCCTCTCACAGGGAACTGGTTTTATGGCTTGGTTCTGAGTCCTGTTGTGCCACCTCTAATGATACATCACTCGGCTCGATGTCTGTAGGCCCTCAGCAAGACACCATTCCCTGCCCAGCATACTGCCCCCTGCTGGTTATAGCCTGGTCCTTCCTAAGACAGGCTGACAATTTCCAAATAAAGCATTTAAATTATGGGAGAATTGCAAAAAGAAAGTAATGAAGGAATTCCAAAGAATCCAACCAGAGTACGTGTTAGCTGTGGGCAATTTCCATCTGGATCCAAGAATCCTATCTTTTAATTTCTTGGACTTCTCACTGACCTCTCCTTTTCTAGGAAAGGATGGGGCCATGATCAATGACCCACAGGAGAGCAGTGGAATTGATAATCTGACAAGTGCTGCTATTCTCCTGTACCTTCAGATGCTGTCAACTCAAAAGGAATTGTCACCACAGAGGAGCCCATTCTCTCCTTTCAGCACTGTAGGCTCAAATTCTAGAGCATCTTCTAGAAGTATCTACTCATGGAATAAAGTCCATAAAAGCAAGTCTTATTTGAAACATGTGGCTTGCTGAAGCACAACAAATAGAAAAAACTCCAAAGTTGGAGCCAGTAGGAAGGGAACTTCTGCAGCATACCCTCAGGGAGGCGAGGGGGAGCTCTCAGAGGAGCTGTCCATCTCCTGGCACTGAGTGTGCCTGCCTCCTAGTCACATATAGCTCTGTAGCTTCCAGGCTTCACCCACACACAGTTTGGTTCATACTGGCTCAAAATGAGTAGTGTCCCTTTGGGTAAGCCTTAGGACTAGTGGAAATAAATTCTATCATTTTCCTTCAGTGTGAGGAGGAAGACTCAGGGGTAAAAATCAAGGAAGCATCCTCCTTTATCAAGTCTTCCCTCATTGATTCAGAGAATGATTATGAACAGCCTACTGTGTGCTAGGTTCTCTATTGGCACTGGAGACAGATAGTAGAGGAGCAAGGACCTTGCCCTCCTGGAGAGAAACAATACATACTTCCTGAAAGTAAGTGCAGTAAAGACAATGAGAAGGAAGGCTTGTAGAATCAGGAGAGAGAGCATTTGAGTTTTCCCCTGGACACAGGAAGTAACACATGGCTTGCCTAAGCCTGGAGCCTTCTATAACCCAGCATGGGCAGGATATTGCAGATGGTCCACCATTTAAAGAACAGCTTTATGAGCATCTTTAGCCTGCCTCCCCTGTCCAGACTTACCCAAGTGACCTCCTGATACTACAACCCTCAATACCACAACCCCACTCACACACCCCACAGGAAGTAAGAAACATTTTGCTTGTCTTGGGGGATCGTCCAAGTAGTTCTGAGCCCAGCAATGGGAAATCCTTATCAAGCCATCTGTTAGGGGCTATACCTAAGACATTGACCAAATAAAAGCAACTAATCATCTCCAGTATGACATACTTTTGACTTCAGCCAAGCACCTATCTGTTGCCAGAGAACCCCAGGCATCATCTTTGGTTGTCTTATATGAAAACAGCCCTCAGGCTGTCTCTCCAGTGGCTGTGATAAGACAAAATTAGCTGCTATGAGGTCAGATATAAGACGGCAACAAACTGTGCATCTTGGGCAAGTCTCTTCACTGACCTGTACCTTAATTTTCTCATATGTTAAGCAATGGGAGGCAAGGACTACAGCTTTGCCTGCCTTCCAGGTAGGTGAGGATGGGAAGAGATGATAGCTCATGAAGACCCTGTAGAGGCCAGGATATCATACAAACTTATCATCTAGCCTATACTCAGTGCTCTGGAAAATCACCTCAAAGAGTAGTTAGTAAACTAGTGTTAATGCCTGTAGACATGAAGGAAGGAAGGAAGGATGGATGGAAGGAAGGAAGGAAGGAAGGAAGGAAGGAAGGAAGGAAGGAAGGAAGGAAGACAGGCCACATTAACTACTGTAACAAGTTGTTTATTATCCTAAGGTTGCCCTTGTTAAGCTTACTAAGTTGTTTCTCATAATGCATGGACTAAGATACGTGCTAAAAACATCTTTGGAGAGATATTCTGGCTGAAAAAGACCCAAAATCTACTTTTTGGGTGGATTTTGAGCAGCCTTTCAAAGCCTAGATTATACCAATCTATTAGAGGTTAAGCTTAAAATATGGGCTTAGTAGATTCCATGGGATTTACCCAACTCTGAGTCAGCAGATCCCCTCTACCATCTGATGCAACTCTGGCTTCAGCCAGGCCATCTAGATGGTTGCCAGTGAGTCCCAGGCATTATGAGGATGAAGCGGACAGTGGTCAGTTTCTTTCAATGAACACTGATCTGCTTTCTTTATGTGGTCATTCTGCCTTCTGGGAACAGGTTCTGTTAAACAGCTCTCATTTTCAACAAAGGTGGCTCCTGGCCACAGGGTCACTGTCAAGTTGTTTTTCTCTGGGACGTTCTAATAGCTAATTCTATGACATTAGACAAGATAAGAAGTAGTTACTAATGTAATTCACCTCAAAGTCAAAGCATAATACTCCCCTACACACAAACACACACACACACACACACACACGCATGCACGCACACACACACGCACACATACCACTTTAGGGAAATTCTCAAAAGGATTCAAAGGATCATTTCCTTTCATAGAAAATTTGCACCAAGTTTTCTCTCCAAAAGCCAACAAGTAATGTGAAATGAAGCTGATACAGAACGCAGCTGCTAAAGGTTGTCAGCCCAGGGCTCTGACTCTGCTCAGGAGCCGTCCTCAGCCTTCCAATAACTGGCATGTTTTGGTCATGTTTCCTTCTGCTGCTGCCCCTACTGCTGCTACTGTGTTAATGTGTTTGCTTTCCATTTGGCAGAGAGACAAGCGAGACACCTCCAACTTCGACAAAGAGTTCACCAGGCAGCCTGTGGAACTGACTCCCACTGACAAACTATTCATCATGAACTTGGACCAAAATGAGTTTGCTGGCTTCTCGTATACTAACCCAGAGTTTGTCATTAACGTGTAGGTGAATGCAGATTCCATTACCAAGCCTGGGGTGTGAGACTTCAGGCCAAGTGTCTGTTATCAATTCTAGTCTTCCAGGATTCATGGTGCCTCTGCTGGCATTTAATACGTGAAGAGCTTGCCTTAGAGGGCTTTTCTTTGTATGTATAGCTTGCTAGTTTGTTTTCTACATTTGAAAATGTTTAGTTTAGAATAAGTGCATTATCCAATGATAGAGGTACAATTTTCCAGACTTCCGGAATCAAATAAACCAACAATGTCAAAACTTAACTGTGTCTGATACCAAAATGCTTCGGTATTTGTAATTTTTAAAGTCAGAAGCTGATGTTCCTGGTCAAAGTTTTTACAGTTATTCTCTAATATCTTCTTTGAATGCTAACTAAGCATGACTGATATTTTTAAAAGTTGTGAGTAAGCTTTGCAGTTACCGTGAACTCTTGTCTATTGGAGGAAATTTTTTGTTTAAGAATTGGTATGATTAAACTGAATTAATATATGCAAACCCTCTTGCTTACATGCCTGTTTTTAAATACACTCTAGTACAGACATTACAGATGGGAGGGAGCATAACCTGACATTGCCAAGGGAAGAGTTTCATGCCATTTTCATAGCATTTTATTCAATTAAAATCATTATCCACATTTAAAAATGGATTTCATATGAACTTGTAGACTTTCATGTTTCTTTGGGGGGAAAATCAAAAGACTGGCAACAATCTTTCTGTGTGGAAATAATTCAGCAGAACTAAAAACGGCTGCATCCTTGGATTTGGCATGCAGCTCAGTTGATAAAGCACTTGCTTAATATACATGAAACTTTAGGTTTGATCCCCATCACTGCGTACATTAGGCATTATGGTAGACACCTATAATCCCAGCATTCAGGAGGTGGAGGCAAGAGGATGACAAGTTCAAAGTCATCCTTAGCTACATAGCAAGTTTGAGGCCAGCCTGGGCTACCTGGGACCTTGTCTCAATAAAACAAAACAAAAATCCCCAAACAAAATAAAGCAAAAGTCCAGAGGGCCAGTGAGATGTGTTGAGGGGTAAAGGCACTTGCTGCCAAACCTGAGGACCCAGTCTTGGTCCCTGGGACCCACATAGTAAAAGGATGGCACCTACTCCTACAAAATGTCCCACCGCCACATACATGCCATGGTATTTGCACACACACACACACACACACACACACACACACACACACAAATAATAAAATTCAACAAAAATTTAGTGGATGCATCATTTGAAAGCTGTATGTGTTCTCATTTTATCACAGTTCCCACCACAATCTATTATCTTATCCATTCCATCCACCTCCCTGACTGCTATAGCCATTCGAAGCTTCTGTTTGTGACCTCCAGACTTGATCTTACTGTTTTTCTGGGTCCACAGTCAAAATGTCAGTACCTCTTTCCAGTCAGTGTGATTCATGTTTATTATTAAATGCAGAATATATGGGGCTGGAAAGATGGCTCATTAGTTAAGAGCATTTGTTGTTCTGCCAAAGGACCTGAGTTTGGTTTAAAGTACCTGTGCTGGGTAGCTTGTAACTGCCTGTAACTCCAGCTCCAGGGGATACAGCACCCTCTTCTGGTCTCCTCCTCATACAGGCGCATACACACACACTCACAAATAGATCTTTAAAAGTAAATAAATGCATACAGAATATGTAACAAAAACTTCATGATAAAAGTCAGCAAGGAGGCTGGCATCAGTATAGGAAAAACACTCTCCTGTGGCCCACAGTGAGGACGTCAGTATTATACTACATTTTTTACCATTTTATCCTAATTACACTCAGCACCTGCAGAAGGAAAAAAATGTGTATGCCCTTTTCCCAACAGCCATACTTGTCCAGGGAGACCCAAGGGAACATGGGGAAAAAGGGCAACTGCTTCTAAATGCTGTTGGTGAGATAAAGAGTCCCATTCTCTCAGAGCAGAGCAGCACAGTAACTGAATCACTGGGTGTCAGCCGGATGCATTCTCCTCTGAATGAAGTCATGCTACTATTTTCTTTTCAGGTGCTGTAGTAATCCATTCTGCAGCACATGCCTTTATAGCTGCTAAGGCTAGTGGGTAGCAGAAAAGAGCAACCCGTCACACTCCAAGTACATTCTGAATCTCTACAGGGTTTATTCATCCCTTCATCTCTTGGAGGAGCCCCAGTAAATGGAGCAACTGGGCAGATATAGTGAATCCATTGATCCTACTAGTGAGCTCATCTTTGGAGAATTTTAGAAACGCTGTCAGTTATAAACTTGGCTGAAGCCAACTCTAAACTTGAGAAACCGTGCACTATGCAGCACATTTAAAAACAAAAATATATGAGTTTCTAGAGCTGTTTGGCAACGTGTCCCATTTAAGATGGTATTAGAGCGGAGGTTACTGTTCCCTGTCTGCTGCTTCTGCTTTCTCTGTGTGCTAGACATAGACACACCCGTCACTGAATAATCACTGTGTCAGCCACAGTCCTGAGTGTGGGAATTACAAAGACCAATAATTTAGTCCAGGAAGTTGTGGAAGGCCAGTTCAGTGAGGAAAGGTGCTCACTGCCAATCCTGAAGTCTTGAATTTGATCCCAGGAACCCACATGATTGAAGGAGAGAACTGATTCCTGCAAGTTGTCCTCTGAATTCCACATGCATTCAATGGTATGTATGTGTGTGCATGCACACGTACACACACACACACAATATTTTTAAAGGAAATGACTCTTTTTTATATATTTTATTTAGTATTTGAATTTTATGTGTATGAGTGTATTGCTTGCATGTATGTGAGTGCACCCATGTCATGCAATGCTGTGGGAGTCAGAAGAGGGCTTCAGATTCCCCTGAAACTGGAGTTAAGGATGGTTTGTAGCCGTCATGTGGGTGCTGGGAACTGAACCTGGGTCCTCTGCAAGAGCAGTAGGTGCTCTGAACCACTGAGCCATCTCGCCAGTCCCCGGGAATGACTATTTCTATGTTAGTTTCCCATAACAAAGAAAGTCTGTGGTTTACTCTGATTGGCTCAGCCTGGTCACACGTATTCCTGAACCTAGTACTGTGTCTTGGTGAACAGGAGAGGCAGATGAAGTGCATTGATTGGTTGGACATAAGTTATATTAGTTATCTATTACCATGTAACAAGGTACCCTTAACCTTAACCAAAAAAAAAAAATATTCCCTGTCAGTGTGTGTGGATCAGGAATCTGGGTGTGGATTATCGAGTTAATAGTCCCGTTAGGTTTTAGGCAAGCTTTTGGCCAAGAATACAATCACATATGAAGGTTCAACAGAGGACGAGCGGTTTGCTTCCAGGCTTCCTCACATAATTTTCAGTAGCTTCAGTTCCTCGAAAGCTTTCCAAATGGCTACCTCTGGACACAATAGCTGGCTTCCTCTAGGTTGAATGATCCAAGTGGGAGCGTCCGTTGAGGTCACAGCCATTGCATCCTTATCTTAGAAGTGGCATCTCATTTCTTGCTATTTTATGTTCTTCTGAAATCAGTCAATAAACTCAGCCCAGGCTGAAGGGATGGAGATTATGCAAGATGTGACAATTAAGAGGTGGAGTCTTTGAGGACCATCTTGGAGACTGCCTACCACACGTCATGGGTTACACTGCCATAGCTAGAGAGAGCCACCCAAGGCATGTGCCCTCAGGGTGGACTCTGAATGAAAATTGGAGCCTGTCCTCAGAACAAAGAGGATAGATATTCAGGAAGCAAACCACAAGAGTGGATTCTTTATAGATGGGAATTTGGGGTTCCTTGAAGATGTTTGGGGCTAGCAGTGTTGAGAGGCCAACTAACACTGAACAGCAATTGAAGGAGCAACTCACCTGGCATTACATTGGTCCACAGAATTTTCTGTTTTTCATCACCAAGCTCAGTGGTGACAGAAAAGGTCTGAATTTCATCCTCTGAGGTATTATATCCCTTCATCTTCAGAGACACAAACCACACTAAGATGAGTTGGCAGAAAAATACACATGATATAGCTCTGTATCAGTTATCTAAGTACCTCAAAACTCAGTGGATTTTTAAAGCCATTTATTTGGTTCAGTGTTGGTTTTCCTGGTCAACCCACTTCAGCTCCTCTCTGGTGGGCTTGTCTGTGTGTATCTCAGGCAGCTGGAAAGTCAGCTGGTGGCAATCTAAGGTGCCCTCTTCCACATGAATAGTGATTGACAGACTGTCTAGAAGAAGCTCAGTGGGCTGCCTGTCTTTCTTCCACATGCTTGCTCCCTGATGTTCCAGAAGACCAGGGTTGGGTGGTCAGCGCCAACTTGAGGGCTCTTTAAACCAATGATGACAAGCTTCCCAAATTCTCAGATTTATGCTGCCGTGGTTTTTCCTCCTCTCTCATATGCAACCTGAGATGCTGACTAAATGAGGAGGGAAAGCCAAGGAAGAGAGGAATCAAACCAGAAAATGTAACCTAGTGCAGCCATCAGTACCCAGCTCTAGAAGCCTCCAATCCAGGTCTCTCAGCTCCACTCCATCCACTTGTGCTGGTGTGAGAATGCCACAGCCACGTGGAATTCTGCCGAGTGCCACCTCCTAGGAAGCAATGCCATCTCCAAAAGTGAATCCTGATTTCCAAAAGCAACAAGCGTTTGATCTCTAGAGGCCTTTTCTGTGGAGTGAAACACAGCCCATCCACTGTGGATTTTTGTGCCATGTCTGCTGGTTTCCCTCCCATGTGGCCTGTTCAAATTAGACCACATGTGTCAGAGTGAAAGGAAGATGATGCTTGGACAAGCGATGCAAAGACAGTCCTATTTGAATCAGTGGTTTCTGTTTACACAGATCAGGAGGGAATAAATGCTTACAGGAGAGTGCTTGACAAATTAAATGAATTGCAATTTTAATATTTATTGTTTATTTCAATATGGGATCAGAACTCTAAGGTGAGTTGGGTTGTATAGAGAATGCCTAGTATTATGTGGGTTGTATTAATTATCTATGGCTGTTAGCAAACACCTGGCTGCTTACAGCCACACACATTTACAATATCAGTTTCAGCACATCAAATGTCCGCACAGAGCTTAGCTGGGATCTCTGTTCCTTAGGAGCTGCAGTAAAGGTGAACCTGCAGGTTCAGCTGGGAGAGCATTTATTCTTAAGCTGCTCACAGAATTGTTGCTAAGATTCGGTTACTTGTGAGCTATTAAGTTAAGGTCTTCAGTTCCTCGTGGACTCTTAGCAGGAGGTTACCCTCCAATCCCTGCTGCACAGGCCTTTCCAAAACCAGTATCCTAATCACTTTCTGTTTCTAAAACAAAGCCCCTAAGACTGGGTCATTCATGAAGAATAGAAGTTTACTCAGTTAAGAGTAATGGAGACTGAGAAGCCCAAGAACATGATGGTTATACTTGTTTCATATCTAAAGAGGGCCTCCTTGCTGTTTTATGACAAGACAGGACATCAGATGGTGAGTCTCTTTGATTTAAAAGTCACTAACATCATCAGGGATTGGCCTTCCAACCTCTTCTAATTCTAATTAATTTTTAAA